GGGCTCTGGGGTGGGACAGCAGGACAGGGACAGCCCAACAGCACCCTGGGGTCCTCAGGGAGAGCTGGGGGGGGGTGGAAGGGTTTTCCTGAGCCTTCCATGGAGGGAGCTCCTCTCACCCACCACGCATGGGGGGGTGACCTTGCCCTGCAGCTCCTCCATCCCACTGGGAGCTTTTCTCTTCTCGTGGCGTCTTGGGCCTGGCAGAACCACCTGGGAAATGCTGGTGGGGTCGTGTTGGGGTCCCAGTGGATCCAGGTGTTCCCACACTGCCCCTCTGCCCTGGCTGTCCCAGCAGAGGGTGGGGGGTGGCTCTGGGCTGGAGCAGCCACCGATGCTGTCCCTGCTCTGGCACAGATGAGAACGTGCTGCACCTCACCTTCCACTACCTGATGAACCTCAACGTCATGACGGTGAAGGCCAAGGTCACCACGGCCATGGAGATGACCACGGCCATCAGTGCCGGGTAAGGGGGTCTGGTGGGCTCCAACCTGGAGCTCTTTGGTCAAGGATCCCATGGGATCCAGGAGCCCTGCACAGCCAGGGCACCTTCCTCCTCTCCCTCTGCCATGCCAAGCCAGGAGCAGGGAGTTTGGGAGCCTTTGGCAGAGCTGTCAGGAGCTGGGAAGAGCCTCTCCCGCTGTCCCATTCAGCCTCCCTCCCCCAGGCCGTGCTGTCAGCTCCTCACCCCCCTGCTCCTCAGGTCACCTTGTCCTGAGCTCTGGAGACGCAGCTGCCTCTCCCTGTGCTCCCCAGAGGCCCTCTGGAGCCTGACTGAGGTGAGGAATAGCTGAAGTGGCAGCTCTGGGGGCCTGCCCAGGGAGCTCCCGCAAGCTGCCAGCTCTGCTGTGGCTCTCCCTGGGACAGGAGGAGGTGCCTGAGGAAGAGGGAGGTGGGAGAGGCTGGTCTGGACTTACCTGGAATCAGATGTTGCCTCCCAGCCCATCCCATGTGCAGCCTCCCCATCCCCTTGGGGTTCTCTCTTCACTGTAGACACCCCAAACCCTCTGTGGCAGCAGCTCAAGGGTGTTCTCTCCCTCCTGTTGCCCTTGGCTGTGTTACCCCAAACCAGGGAGGCTGTGCCTTCAGCCAGACCCCAAATCCTACAGCCCACTGGGCTTGGTCAGGCTTGGGAATACAGTCAGACATGCACTGGAGGGAGCAGCCTCCTGGGAAGTCAGTACCCTGTGATTCCCATTTTCTTCCCAGCCAGGGTGGAGACAGATCTTTAGGAGAGGAATTCAGGGAAAGCCGTTCTGGTCCTGAACTCATGGAGCTCATAATCCCCTTCTCTGGGTTTGGGGCCTGTTAGTGGCCACCCCAGAGAGGTGTGGAGCCCAGGCTGCCTCTGGCTGAGCTCTCCTCTCCTCCTGCAGGGACCTGCTGTCCCCAGACTCCCTCCTCAACTGCCTCTACCCCGGAGACCACGGGAGGAAAACCCCCAACCCGGCCAACCAGTTCCAGTTCGACAAAGTGGGGTGAGTGGGGGGTGGTTGGGCTGAGTGCCCCACTCCCAGCATGGCACATCCCTCCCTGGGCTGTCAGGGAGGCTTTGGAAGTGGTGGGACGAGGTGAGGGGATGCTCTGGGGTGACATGACCCTTCCTTGTCCCCACAGCATTGTGACCCTGAGCGACTACGTGACGGAGCTGGGGCACCCCTATGTGTGGGTGCAGAAGCTGGGAGGCCTGCACTTCCCCAAGGATCAGCCTCAGGCAAGGCACACCCCCTCCCCTGTCCCCCACAGCAGCTTTGGGGACGCTCTGGGGACACTCTTGTCCTGTGCTGTCCCCTCAGAGCTGCTCCCAAACCGCGGCACACTCACGTCTGGGCTGGGCGTGTGGGGCACAGACGGGATGGTCTGAGCCCTGGGAGGGACACTGAGCCACCCAGCTGGTGCCTGCTGGGCTGTGGGGTGCTAGTGCCAGTGCCATCCCTCCTGCCCACAGCACACGGTCACTGCAGACAACTCTCTGAGTGCCAGCCACATGGAGCTGACCGTGAAGCTGCTGCGGAGCCGCCTGCAGTCCCGCCTGGCCCTGCACAAGCAGTTCGCCTCCCTCGGTGAGTGCCAGCCTTCCTGGGGACAGGGCTGCAGTGACAGGGTCCCCTGCTGGGCCCCTCATCCATCCTTAGGGACACAGATCCAGTGGCAGGATCCTGCTGGCGTTCCAACCCATCCTTAGGGAGATGGGAGCAGTGGCAGGGTCCCTGTGCAGGGGAGAGCTGGCTGGTGTCACCTTTAGCGTTTCCAGTCATTTCCTCTGTCCGTGAGGGCAGCAGGGATGAGGATGAGGGATGAGGGAGGCAGCAGGGATGGGGGAGCTGCCCTGGTCTGGGAGGGCAGGGGAGGGCTGTGCCCCTCTCAGTGCCCAGCACCCCCTTGGGAATGGCCATCCCAGTGCTGGGAAGGGATTTGGGCCATGGCAGGAGGGGAACCACCCCTGGGCCTGCTGAGCAACCAGGGATCATGGGGGATCACGGGATCCAGTGGGATCACAGCCCAGGAATCCAGGGGGATCCCAGCCTGGGGATCCAGTGGGATCCCAGCCCAGGGATCCATAGGATCCCAGCCCAGGCCTCTGCTGGTCCTGCTGAGCAGCCGGTGGAGGTGTGAAGGATAACAACGACATCCCAGGTCCTGCTTTGGGGGCCTCCCCCCTGGCATGACAGTGGCAGGATGGTGGCAGAGCTTGTGCCCAGCCCTGCCCTGCTCAGCTGGCCCTGTCCTTGTCCCCAGAGCACGGGGTCGTGCCGGTGTCCAGCGAGTGCCAGCAGCTCTTCCCCACCAAGGTTGTGTCCCGCCTGGTCAAGTGGACGGCCATTCCCTTTGAGGACTACGCTGTAAGTGCCAAACATGGGGATGAATCCCTTCCAGCCCCCTCCCAGCCCCTTTCCAGCTCCCACCTGGCACCAGCTCATTCCTCATCCCCTCCCAGGAGCTGCCTTACACCAAGGATGTGATCGAGGCCGGCTTGGCTGAGGACACTCACCTCTACTACATGGCCCTGATAGAGAGGGGAACAGGTGAGAGCATCTCCTCCCCTGGGAATTCCCACTCCCCACACCCCCAGGGCAGCTGCTGGGGCTCTGCGTGGAAAATGCCCCTGGTTGGAGGCCCTGGGGCTCTCCACTCACTTCTACCCTGTGGCAGCTCTGGGCCTTGGAGGGGTCCTGACTGGCTTTGGGCTCATCTTTGGGGTTTGCTTGAGCTTTGGGTTCCTTCACCTTCTTGGGCTCCTCTACCTTCTGTTGCTTGGGCTCCTCTACCCTCTCCTTGGGCTTCTCCACCTTCTCTCTCTTGGGCTCCTGACGTTCTCCTTGGGCTCCTGCACCTTCCCCTCCCTGGGGGTGACACGTTCTCCCTGCCCAGCCAAGCTCCAGGCGGCCGTGGTCCTGAATCCCGGTTATTCCACACTCCCGCCCGTCTTCAGCCTGTGCCTGAACTGGAAGGGGGAGCGGAACAGCAGCAACGACGACAACATTCGGGTAATGGGGGGGGCAGAGGGGCCCTTTTCGGGGTGTCCCCAGCGGTTCTGTGCCCACAGCAAGGGAGATGTTGGGCTGAGCTGCTGGGTGGGCACTTGGGCGCAGCAGCGGGGTCTGGCAGTGCAGAGCAGGGATCTGAGCCCACACCAACCCCATCCCTGTTCCCAGGCCATGGAGAGCGAGGTCAACGTGCACTACAAGGAGCTGTGGGGGCCCAAACCGGGCTACCAGCTCCTCACCAACCAGCTGCAGCGCCTGTGCATGGTGCTGGACGTGTACCTGGAGACAGAGCCCCACGATCCCAGCGTGGAGGGGCCCAAGGAGTTCCCTCAGGAGAAGATGTGTCTGCGCCTGGTCAGGTGAGAGCCCCTGCTGAGGGTGCTGGAGGGACCTTGATGGCACCACTGTCCCCTGGTGCCAGCCCTGAAGCCTGTCCTGTGTAGGTCTGCTCCAGGAGTGGGTGCCAGGGGTTTCCTGATCCCTGTGAGTCATGGCCTGTCCCTCTTCTCCTTTCCAGGGGTCCCCTGCGCCTGAAGCCCTTCAAGTTCAACTACCCCCAGGGGTTCTTCAGCCATCGCTGAGCCCCCTGGGCACCTCTCTGGGATGGGCCTCATCCCCCCTGCAGGGGGAGTGTCCCCATCCCCCCATTTCAGCTCCTTTTCCAAGATTTTGGGGTCGGTTTTGTAGCCAAAGGGATTAAACTGAACCCAAGGAGACGAGTGTGTGTGTCCTGTGTGTGCAGTGGGCGGGGAGTGGGGTCCTGTGGGGGCTCCAGCAAGGCCTGCGTCCCTTCCCTGGGCTCTGACAGCTTTTCCTGGGATGCTGCCTGTCTCCTGCCCTCCCTCCCCACCTCGGGGAGCTGAGCTGGCTAAAACTGAGCTGGCTAAAAATAGCCCTTGTGCGGAGCCCGCACTGCAGCCCCAGCCCGTCCTTGCCAGCGCTGGCTCCCGGCCCACTCGGCACCATCCCTGCGACTGGGGGGGCTTGGAGGGGAGCAGGGCAGGGACCTGGGAGAGGCGAGAGGAGGGTTGGGCCATGCCAGCCCCCCAGCTCACCCTGGTTGGCACCAGGAGTTGGGCTGTGCCCCCTCACCTTGTGCAGGTCCTGTCCCACATCCCGGCAGGCACAGCTGGGGCTCCAGCCCCGCTCCCGAGAGCGTTGTCCCTCCTGCCCCCCTCTCCAGGGAGAGATTTGTCCCCCAGGAGGGCTGACAGCCCCCCTGCTGCTGCCCCACAGCCCCTGCCCTCGGTGCAGCGCTGCAGCCCTCGGGTTAATCCAGGCCCTCCCGCTCCCTTGGGAGCCAGGCTTTAAAAAGAGAAGGGACAAAACACACTGAAATCCTTGGGAAAGCGTGGGGGGGCTGGCCCTGTTTCCATCCCAGGACAAGGGGGGTCCTTTGTGCCTGCACTTGGGGGGTGTGTTTTCCTTCTGGAAAGATGGATCCCACCCCTATTCCTGCCTCCCTTCCCTCCCTCCTCCCTCCCCCCAGGACAGACCTGCAGAGCCAGGATGTCTCCGTAAGCACTTTTATTTGGTTATTGCACAGTAAGCAAAGATCAGTGGGCTGAGGTTCCTGGTGCACCCGTGCGTGTCTGTGAGCGATTCCTGCAGCTCCCAGCCCGTGTCTGGGAGCGATTCCTGCAGCTCCCAGCCTCTCCCACCACTGCTCCAGGGGACAGTCCCCCCACCCCGGGCAGGGCAGGACCCCACCAGCCCCCCCCAAGCAGCTACAGCTCTGCATTGCACTCGTCCATCCATTGCACATACATTGAATAAATGCACTTAGGGGAGAAGGGCGGAGGGGTCCCCTGTGGGAGTTTCCCTGGGGGGGTCTCCCCTCTTCTCCTGGGTTATAATTCAAGTGTTAAATGTGGGGATCACGTTCTGCGAGGGAAGCGTCGCCCACCCTGCGGCTCTCACAGGGCCTATTGCTAAGGGGAAGCCCAGCCTGGGGGTCCCACCCCGGGCCCGGCCCTCGGGGTGGGCAGGGCAGCCCCCGTGCCCGCAGTGCCCATCGGCACCCAGGACTCTGCACTCACTTCTTCCCTGCAGTGGGGGCTGGCTCCGGGGCTGTGCCCTCCTTGCTGGAGGGGTCCTCGGCCTTGGGGGGGTCCTTGCTGGCCTTGGGCTCATCTTTGGGTTTTGCTTGGGCTTTGGGTTCCTCTTTCTTGGGTTCCTCTACCTTCTTGGGCTCCTCCACCTTCTCCTTCTTGGGCTCCTCAACCTTTTTCTTGGGCTCCTCTACTTTCTTGGGCTCCTCTACTTTCTTGGGCTCCTCTACCTTCTCCTTCTTGGGTTCCTCCGCCTTCTCCTTTTTGGGTTCTTCCACTTTCTCCTTCTTGGGTTCCTCCACCTTCTCCTTCTTGGGTTCCTCTACTTTCTTCTTGGGCTCCTCCACCTTCTCCTTCTTGGGTTCCTCCACTTTCTCTTTCTTGGGCTCCTCCACCTTCTCCTCAGCCTTTGGCTTCTCAGCCTCCTTGGCGGCCGCTTTGCCGACCTCCTGCTGAGGTTTTGGTGGAGTCTCCTTCTCGGCTTTTCCTTCTTCAGCGGGTTTGGGGCCTGGCTTGGGGGTCTCCTTCACCTGTGGGGCTGGAGGCTCTGGCACCTTCTCTTTGGGTTTCTCCTCTGCCTTGGCTGGGACATCTTTCTTGGGAGCTTCCTCCTTCTTACCCTCCTCCTTGGAGGGAGCCTTTCACCTCCTTGGGCTGCTCCTCCTTCGCGGGGGCTTTCGGCTCCTTCGGAGCAGGGGTTGGCTCCTTGGCCGGGGCCTCCTCCTTCCCAGGAGACTTGACCTTCTCAGGGGACTTCACACTTGGGGTCTTGGCCTCCTCCTTGGAGGGGGTTGGGGGCTTCTCTGGGGACTTCACAGTTGGGGTCTTGGCCTCCTCCTTGGAGGGGGTTGGGGGCTTCTCTGGGGACTTCACAGTTGGGGTCTTGGCCTCCTCCTTGGAGGGGGTTGGGGCTTTTTCTGGGGATTTGACAGAGGGGGGTTTGGCTTCATCTTTGGAGGGAGCTGCAGGTGTCTCTGGGGACTTCACAGCCGGGCTCTTGGCCTCTTCCTTAGGGGGGGCTGAGGGTTTCTCAGGGGTCTTGGCCTTGTCCTTTGAGGGGGGTGCAGGTTTCTCAGGGGACTTCACTGTGGGGGTCTTGGCCTCCTCCTTGGAGGGAGTTGGTGGCTTTTCAGGGGATTTGACAGCAGGGCTCTTGGCCTCCTCCTTGGAGGGGGTTGCAGGTTTTTCTGGGGACTTGACAGCTGGGCTCTTGGCCTCCTCCTTGGAGGGGGTTGCAGGTTTTTCTGGGGACTTCACAGCTGGGCTCTTGGCCTCCTCCTTGGAGGGGGTTGCAGGTTTTTCTGGGGACTTCACAACCGGGGTCTTGGCCCCCTCCTTAGAGGGAGTTGGGGGCTTTTCAGGAGACTTGGCCTCCTCCTTTGAGGGGGACTCCGGTTTCTCTGGGGACTTGGCCTCCTCTTTTGCAGGAGACTTGGCCTCTTCTTCACCCTCTTCAGCTTTCTCCTCCTCTTCTTCCTCCTCCTCCTCTTCAGCTTTCTCCTCTTCCGCCTCTTTCTCAGCCTCCTCCTCCTCCGTGACCTCCTCGGTCACCTGGATCTCCTCCGTCTGCTCCTCCACAATCACCGTCTCCTTCTCCGACTTTTCCACCACCTTGATCTTCTCCTCGCTCTTCACCTTGATGTTGGTGGTGATGCTGGGAGCCTTGGGGACCACCTCGGGGTAGGAGAGCATCCCAATGCCGGTCTCGAGCCGATATTCCTCCCCTTCCAAGAGCTTTCTGCCAAGAAGAGACCAGAGTAGGGCAGTCAGTGATGGCTTCTCCTCCTCTCCCGTGACCAGGAGCTGCCAGCCCTGTCCTGCAGCTCCATGTCCCTTCCTGCCCTGTCCTGGATCACCCTCCTGCTCCTTCTCCCTAGGCTGGGCAGGTTTCCTTGCCCTTCCCTCCACACTCCAGGGCTGGATCACGCAGTTGGACATCAATCTTAGGAGATGGATGGTTTCCTTCTCACTGAGAAGAGCCCGGGGGGGACCTTGAGCAGCCCTAGCTGAGACTCCCCAACCCTTGCCCTGCCCACCCTGTACCTGTAGGCAGCGATTTCGATGTCCAGGGCCATTTTGACGTTGAGCAGATCCTGGTATTCCCGGAGCTGAGCTGCCATCTCCCACTTGGTGTTCCTCAGCTCGCTGTCCAGCTGCTGGATGGTTTCCTGTGGGCACACAGAGCAGCGGGGGTGTGACATGGGCTGTGGGGGGACAGTCCCCAGGAGCAGGGGCACACAGAGCACCCCCAAACTGTCCCCTGCTCTCCAGCACCAAGGGGCCCTCAGAGAGGGGTCTGCAGCCCCCTCCTCCCACAGACACACAGGGAAGGGGACACATCCAGGGGCTGTTCCAGGATGTCCAGTTCCCTCGGGGGACCTGGCAGGGGGACTCCAGCCTCCTCCCAGCACTCCCTCCAGCCAGGACGAGCTGTGGGAATGCTTCTCCCACGTTGGAAAATTCAGTGACCAAAAAATCCCAGCCTGAGGCGGATGGGGACAGGGCATCACGCTGGGGACAGTGTCTCAGTCCAAGGCCACCACTCAGTGCAGCCCTCGCTTCTCAGGCCTGGGACACAGCACAGGGCCTGAACCTTGGACACAATTCCGTGGCGTTTGTGACCAACATCACGTGCATGAGGGACATGGCAGCCTGGACACCACCTCAGCCTCTGGGAACCTGATCCCAGGGGGCTGGGGAAGGCCCACACACAGCCCTGAGGATGTACCAGAGCTCGTGGCCAAAACACCAGCGCTGCTCCGCCCTGGCAGCCAGAGGGTCCCTCCTCAGGAGATGATCCCTGCTCCAGGTTACCTGGTAGGACAGGACATCTGCATGATGCCGCTCCTCAGAGTCCTGCCTCTGCCTCTCCAGTGACTCCTGGGTCCCTTTGAGGGCCTCCAGCTCGGTGGTCTTGGCCTGGAGCTGCCGGCGGTACTCGGTGATCTCCTCCTGGGCCACTCTCATGGCGTCTGTGTTCACCTTGGCCACCTCCGACAGCTTGTCCAGCCTCACTGCAGCGGGAAAGGGGACATGGAGGGGGGCAGGGACGGAGGCTGCGGTTCTGGGGGAACCTCAGATCCTGCCATTCCACACATCCCTGCCTGGTGTCCTCTGCTGAGCCGGCCCGGCCTCCCCGGGCTCCCCGCCTTCCCACCCCTCGCCCCGGGAGGTGAAGGAGGACCCTCCCGAAGGAGGGCACCTCCCTCCTGCCAGGGGCTGGAGGAGGACGGGTACGACCAGCTGGGTGGGCGTTTTCGCCGTGCTGGGCGTCACCCAGTGCAGACCCTCGCCGCAGACCCCCCCTCGGGCTGTGCCACAGCCCCCCCGACCCCCTGCATCACCGCACCCACACACCGCACCCCGGGCCGAGGCGGGGTGGGGGGGTTTGCCGCAGCGCCCTGCGGACACACCCCGGGGGATGGGGAGGGGGGGACAGGAAAGGGGGACAGGAAGGGTGGGACACAGATCCTGCGGTTCCCGGGGCAGCCCCCGCCCCGCGGGACCCGCTCCCACAGGTCCGCGCTGCCGCTGCCCGCGGTGCTGAACCGCCGCTGTCCGCGGTGCTGGACCCGCCCTGCGCCCGTGGGCGCTGAGCCCCGGGGTGCTGAGCTTCGGGGTGCTGAGCCCCCCCCCAAGAAGGGCCACTCCCTGCCCTCCCCCCTCCCGCATGAGGGATGCGGTACCACCCCCCCCGTCCCGCACTGCGAACCCCTCCTGGCCTCGCCCCAGCCGACAGGGACCAGGAGGACACCCTGCAGCATCGTGGGGGGGAATTCCAAAAACTTGCGGGGTGCCGTGATCCTGGCACCCTCCTCGAAACGCATTGCGGGGCGGGAGTGGGGGGCAGAGCACCCACGGGCACTGGGGGGCTGGGGGGGGCTACTCTAATTCCCACCCAGAGCACTGGATAAAGGGGGGATTTCTGCCGTCCCCTGGGAGTGAGGGTCCCCTAATACCCTCCCAAAGCACAGTTTAAGTGGGGGGTCCCCTGCCCCTCCCACAAGGGTGGGGGCACCTTAACATCCTCCCGGAGCACAGTATAAATGGAGGGGGTCCCTGCACTTCCCTGGAGCGGGGGTCCCCTAATGTCCTCTCAAGGCACAGTTTAAATGGGGGGTCCTTGCCCCTCCCGGAGTGGGGTCACCCTAAAACCCTTCCAGAGCGCAGCACACAGGGATTAGAGGGGTGGTCCCCGGGCACGCCCTTCCTCTGACTCGCTCCCGGAGGGGTGTCCCCAGGGAGGAGCAGGGTCCCTCCCCGCACACTCACCGCGGAACCACTCCTCCGCCTGCAGGGTGCTGCGGGCGGTCGTGCCCTCCAGCTGTGCGCGCAGGTCCCGGAGCGCGGCGGTGACCCCGGGGCGCAGCGCCGAGGGGGGCTCGGCGGGGGCCTCCGGCCGCGCCCCCCGCAGCAGCGCTCCCACCTCGGCGCGGTGCTGCCTCCGCAGCATCTCCGCCTCCTCCCGCAGCGCCCGCGCCCGCTCCTCCAGCGGCGCCCGCGCCCGCTCCTCCTGCGCCGAGCGCTGCGCCAGCCCCCGCGCCGCCGCCTCCAGCTCCCCGCGCTGCCGCGCCTCGTCCTCCAGCCGTCCCCGCAACGCCGCCACGTCCTCGGCCAGGCGGGCCCGCTCCAGCCGCAGCTGCCCCTTCTCGGCTCCCAGGCGCAGGACGGTGCCCCGCATGTCCCGCAGCTCCCGCGCGTACAGCTCGCCCATGGCCGAGCGCCCCGCCTGCTGCTGCCGCAGCGCCGCCGCCTCGGCCGCCAGCGCCCGGTTCTGCTGCTCCAGCGCCCGCACCCGCTCGATGTAGCCGGCGAAGCGGTCGTTCAGCACCTGCAGCAGCTCCTTCTCGTTGCGCGCCCGCGGTTCGCCGTTCAGCGAGTCCAGGCTCTCGGTGGAGGACGCGGCCGCGCTGCCGCCGCCGCCCCCCGCGCCCCGCGCCCGCCCCACCACCGGAGCCGGCCACGAGTAGAAGCCGCTGGAGGCGGCGGAGCCCCGGGGAACGCGGCCCGGCTCCTTGCGGAGCCCCCCCGGGGGGCCCAGCAGCGTCTCCAGCATCAGGCTCATGGTGACCCCCCCGCCCTCGCTGCGGCACCGCCGCGGACGCCCCGCTTTATAGGGCTCGGGGAGGCCGCTCCGCCCCCGCCACCGGCAGCGGGGGAGGGCACCGGCACCGCCACCGGCACCGCCCCGCGTCGCCACCGCAGCCCCGGGGGTGCGGGGACATCCCGCGGCCACGCCCCGGGGGGAGCGGGGGGATGCGGTGGGGACAGGGAGTCGCACGGTCTGCGAGTGGGGACCCCCCGGCGAGAGAATGGGGAACCCCCCGGCAAGAGAATTGGGACCCCCGGGGCACAGCAGAACCCCGGAAACAGAGATTGGCACCCCAGGACACAGCAGGACCGCGGGAATAAAGAGTGGGACCCCCGGTAAGGGAGGGGATTGCTCCTGAAGGGAACCCCCCAGGCTTCCTGCTCGCTTCCCAGGGAATAAAGGATGGCAGCCCCGGGAAGGACATGGAATGCTCCTGATGGGATCCCCCAGGCAGGGAGCAGGACCCCTGGGAATGAAGAATGGGAGCCCCGGGAAGGGATTGGAGAGCTCACGAAGAGAGCACGGATTCCCTAGGAAGAGTGGAATCCCCCGGAATAGGGGCTGAGACCCCCCAAGGAGGCAGGGGGATGCTCCTGAAGGGAACACTCATCCTCCTGGCTGGGAGCAGGACTCCCAGGAATAGAGAATGGGAGTCCCAGGAAGGGAGCAGGGACCTCCAAGGGCAGAGTAAGGACCCTGTGGGAATTGGGCGGTGCCTGAAGGGAGTATGGACCCCCCAGACAGAGAGTGGGACCCTCAGAAAGGGAGGGGAGACCCCCAAGGACAGAGTGAGGGCCCCATGGAAAGGGGTGGGGAGCCCTCCAAAGGGAGCATAAACTCCCTGGGCAGAGAGGAGGACCCCCAGGAAGAGAGTGGGACCCCCAGGAATAGGAGTGGGAGCCCTGGAAAGGGAACCGGCATCACCCAGGGTGGTCTTGCCCTCTGTGAAGGAGAGAGGGGAGATCCCCGGGGGGTACAGACACCCCTTCCCAAGGGTGGGATGGCAGGGCAGGGACCCTGGGGGGGGCGCAGCACCCAGACCACCCCCGGGGGTCAAACACTGACTGGGACCGGGGGGCGGAGGGGGCCTTGGGTTGCCAGGAGGGTCCCCCGGAACCCTCTGTTCCAATGGGAGAGAACACCCCTGTGGGTGCTGGGGGGGGCTCCAGGCAGGGAGGGGGCGGGGAGAGAGCCAGCTCTGCCCTCCCGGCTGGGAAGGGGGCCCACTCCGAGCCCCCAAAATCCTGCCCTTGGGTCCTGAGCACGGACCACCCTACCTGTCAATCACGGGAAGCCCCGCCTACCACAGCAAGCCTCTGCCCACCACAGCAAGCCACGCCCACCATGGACTGTCCGGCCAATCAGCGCTGGCGGACGGCCTGCCCAGTCAGCCCATCCTGCCCAGGGGCCAATCAGCGCTCACAGACCACCCAGCCAATCAGCACCCACCTGTGGGTGGATCCTGACAGCTCAGCCAATGAACAGTCACATACATGGCAGCCAGCCAATCAGCAGCTAGGTGCAGAGATCCCAGCCAATCAACACACGCGTCCAGAGAGCTCAGCCAATCAACAGCCAGTAGTGTAGATCCCAGCCAAACACCTCCCAGGTGCACAGATCCCAGCCAATCAGCAGGCAGGTCCCACCACACCCCTCTTCCCAAAAAAGCCATGGGAGTGGATCCGGGAGCAGCCGGGGCTGCCCGTGGGATGTGCCAGGAGAAAGGGGGGAGGCTGAGCAGGGCACAGACCCTGGGGGTGTGGGGACATGGGGACAGACCCTGGGGGTGTGGGGACACGGGGACAGAGCCTGGGGGTGTGGGGACATGGGGACAGAGCCTGGGGCTGTGGGGACATGGGGACAGAGCCTAGGGATGTGAGGACACGGGGACTGTGGGGCCGGACACCCCTGTGCCCCCCCTGCCCCCGCCGGACGTCGCCGTGGGAAGGAGCCACCAGCAGTGACCGCTCCCGGCCATTCGGCACCGGGCCGGGTGGCACCCACGGGTGGGGGCACGTGGGGTGCCCCACGGGGCACTTCCCACCCCGTAGCCCCGCAGAAAGGGGGGCACCCGGCTCCGAAAGGGGGGACACAGCTTATGGAGGGGGGGTCTCTGTTCCCATGTCCTGTCCCGCTCCCTGTGGTGTGCCCTGTCCCCATCCCGTGTCCCCATCCCTCTCTCCCCATCCCTTTCCCCCCGATCCCGATCCCGCTCCAGTTCCCGGCCCCGCCCCTCCGCCGTGGCCCCGCCCCTGTCCCCGCCCCCGCGCGGGCCGCCCCGCCCGGAAGCGCTCCCCGATCCTCGGTTCCGGTGCCCGCGGGAGGCGGCGGCAGGTACAGGATGGGGTCAGGATTGGGAATGGGACCGGGATCAGGAATGGGACCAGGACCGGGCCGCTCCCTGCCCGCCCCTGCGCTCCGCGGGTTCGGGCCCCCGCCCCCGCCGGGACTCGAGCCGGGCCGTGCCCTGGGCCGGGCCCCTCCCGGACCGGGCTGTGGCCCCGTTCAGTCCCCCAGGCCGGGCTGTCCCCCGTCCCCGTGCCCTGTCCCGGCACAGGCTGTGACCCCGTTCTGACCCTCGGCCCGGCCCCCCTTGCCCCGGGACCGGGCTGTGTCCCCTCCTGTCCCCCTATCCCGGGCTGTGTCCCCCTCCTGTCCCCCTCCTGTCCCCCTATCCCGGACTGTGACCCCCTCCTGTCCCCCTATCCCAGACTGTGACCCCTCCTGTCCCCCTATCCCAGACTGTGACCCTCCTGTCCCCCCTATCCCGGGCTGTGTCCCCCTCCTGTCCCCCCTATCCCGGGCTGTGTTCCTCTCCTGTCCCCCCTATCCCAGACTGTGTCCCCTTCCTGTCCCCCTCCTGTCCCCCCCTATCCCGGGCTGTGTCCCTCCTGTCCCCCTATTCCGGGCTGTGTTCCTCTCCTGTCCCCCCATCCCAGACTGTGTCCCCCTCCTGTCCCCCTATCCCGGGCTGTGTCCCCCTCCTGTCCCCCTATCCCGGGCTGTGTTCCTCTCCTGTCCCCCTATCCCGAGATGTGTCCCCTCCTATCCCCCCCTATCCCAGGCTGTGTCCCCTTCCTGTCCCCCCCTATCCCAGGCTGTGTCCCTCTCCTATCCCAGGCTGTGTCCCCCTCCTATCTCTGCCTGTGTCCCCTCCTGTCCCCCCTATCCCGGTCTGTGTCCCTCACCTGTACTCCCCTATCCCGGACTGTGTCCCCCTTCTGTCCCCTCCTATCCCGAGATGTGTCCCCCTCTTGTCCTCTCCCATCCCAGGCCGTGTCTCCCCTATCTTGACCCCAGCCCGGGCACACGGGGCTCCCACCAGCTCAGCTCCAGCCACCCTCCCACCTCGACCCGTGTCCCCCCCGGGCTGTCCCTCTCCCCAGCCCCCCCGCAGCTCCGTGTCCCATCCCTGCCCTCCCGGATCCATCCCGGCTCCATCCCGGAGCAGGGCTGATATCCTGTGTTTGCTGCCTCCCCCGGGGAGGTTTTAGGCTGGATAAAAAGGATCTGTGGGAAGGCTCCAGCCTGAAGGAGCCCTGTTGGAGGTGGTGTTGCTCATCCCTGCGGGGGTTTTGTGGAGTTTCCCAGAGTTTCAACACCTCTCAAGGGTCCCATCCCGAGCAGCAGTGGGGACCAGGGGGTGTTTTCTGTCCCCTCTCTCCTGGGCTGACAGGAAATGGGATGAGCAGTGGGATCAGTCTGGTTTGCTGCCCCCAAACCTGTTTTTGGGGGGGCTGCTCCCTGTGGGGCTCAGGCTTTGGGAGGGGACCTTGAGGGGCTTTCCAGAGGTGTTGGGCCTTGCTTGGATTGAGCCAGGCTGGGAATTAATTCCATGGCAGGAGGTGTCCAGCCCTGCAGAGCCTGGCTTTCCCAGGAGGAGAACATGCCCTGTGCCACGGGAAGCTGTGTCCCAACACCTCCAGAACAAGATCCTTGGCGTTCCTGAGGACGCTCAGCTGGAGTTCTGGGGGGTCCCCGTGGGTGTTATCCCTGTTGAAGTGATTTAAAATTCCCCCCAGCTCCTGGAGCACTGGGATCCTGGCAGTGGGTGCTGCAGGGGACACCCTGGGACCTTCCTTTGTCTGTGGATTTACCCCCAGTTATCAGTGGATGGGATGTTTTGGCTGCAGCTCGTTTTTCTGGCGTGGCCCTTCCTCCCTCTGGGATAATCACGGAGATGGTGGGATGAGCACAGGGATGGGAGCTGTGGGACGGGATCACCACGGCCCTTCACTGCTGGGAGGAGGGGAAGGATTTGGGATCAGCACAAGGCTCCTCAGCTGCTGGGCTTTGTACCCTCAACCTCTGGTTCTTCTCTTCCACGTTTGGGGGTTTAAATTCCCCTCTGGTGTCCGTGCCAGCCCTGGGGTTTATCCACAGGGCCCAGGCATGTGTCTGGAGTGGGAAGAGGTGTGTGATTCCCCACGGCTCCAGCTACACATCCCAGTGTTAATTCTTTATAGTCTGCCTTCATTTCCTTTCACTGTGCCAGCTTGGCCCTCAAGTGCTTCATTCCCAGCTGGAACTGGGAGTTTTCTTTCCCCACTAACCTCCAGCTGCCCCTCTATTTTCCAGGTGAGCCCTTTCCAAGGAGCTTGCCCTTTGAGTTCCTGCTCCTCCCTCCTCTCCCTGGATTTGGGTGCCAGCCTGTCCCCCCCTGACAGGCAGGAATGTGTGTGCAGGGCTGGGCTGGATGAATCTCCTGCCTTTGTTCCCTTCCCAAGACACGGATCAGCCCGGGGAGATCAGGATTTACTGGCAGCTGGTGAACTCCTGCTCTGGGCTGTCACAGGGTCTGGAATGACCAGGGAGCTGCAGGGATAACCAGGGATTTGGGATGTCCTGGGCATGGGTTATGGGCTGTCAGGGCTCTGAGGTGGCTCCCTGCTCTGGAGGAGCAGCAGGGCTGTCCCTGCATCCTATCCCAGGATTTTATTGCTGGAAGCTGAAAGGGAGTCCAGAGGAGGCCACGG